CCACCTATGGTCCGATCTCCATGAAACTGTGCATGCTTCTTCAGCATGTTATGACACATATGCTCATCAATTTTTGTAAAGTTCTGAGTTTTCCTTTAGGATTTACAGGCTTTTGGGGGCTTTTTGTCACGCCCCCTTTTGTAAATGACCCTGTTATAGCAAGACAAATGACAAAGTTGAACTTTTTTTGGATAATTATTGATCAAGAGAGTCCAAAGAATTATCCTAGACTAGTCTGGTTCCGATCGGGCAAAAAACCAGGGACTAGTTCGCAAAAGTAGGTTTTTAACATATTCGTGAATATTTAACGAACGAATTGATTGACAGCAATGGTTCTTGAGGCAAAGTTGTTCATCATGAGGAGATCTATCAATTGATATACATTTTGTGGGGGTGTGTGCAACACCACGTGATTACAGAGCAATAAAACTCGTTAGCGCCAACTAGTGGCCGATTTCTTTCAAAATTTTTACAGACCTCTAGGGCCATGAGTCGAACATTCCCAACGAGTTTCGTTCTGATCGGCCTTCGTTAACCTTGTTTCATAGATGCTCAAACTTCATTGGCCGATGGCGGCCATGTTTTTTGAGATACACCAATGTCCTCATAGATATAGATGGGGCCTTGGTCCAAGACACTGCATATCAATTTTCAAGTCAATCGGACTAACGGTCATGTGATCATAGCCCTTTTTATGTTTTTTTCATATTATAGCGCCACCTAGTGTTCAATCGTCGCTATTTTTTTACTGTGACCTCAAATTGAACTCTTACACATGTGTACCGAGTTTGGTGAAGATATCTCATATACTTCTCGAGTTATAGCCATTTTAGTAAAATAGGCTCCTCCCACAACGTTTATTTTGCTTCCCCTAGCGACCGGAACGAGAAATTTCAACATTTTTTTGATAATTATTGATCTTCAGACTCCAGAGAACATTTCTGCACTGGTTTGGTTCCAATCGGGTAAAAAACCAGGGACTAGTTTGCAAAAGTAGTTTTTCAACAAAATTCAAAATGGCGGAAAAATTTGCATACCGGAAATGAAATCGGAGATATACGTTTTTTTCGTCAGGTGAATAGCTTTCCAATGATATAAGACACTTGAGTGTACGACTTACGGTCTAGGAGTTATGAGTAGTTTCGCGCAATTGGTTGTTATAGCGCCACCTATGGGCCAATCGGGCTCATAATTTGATAACCTCTCCTCGATTTTTGTACTACCATCTGACAAAGTTTCAGAGCTCTAGCCCTTACGGTTTGGGCTGCACGATGCGTTTTAGGGGAGAATAATAATAATAATAAAAATCAGTACAAAAACAATAGGGTTTCAGCACTTCGTGCTTGAACCCCTAATAATAAAAATCAGTACAAAAACAATAGGGTTTCAGCACTTCGTGCTTGAACCCCTAATAAAAATCAATACAATTACAATAGGGTTTCAGCACTTCGTGCTTGAACCCCTAATAAATAGGGAAATCCAATGGTGGACACTGCTAAGACTGTCCATTTTGATATTTGCTTAATTTCTCTGCTCAATTACATGTGTTTATTATAAGCAGCCACTATAAGCGGGAAACGGATAAATCAAATAATTCATCATTCATGATGCAAGCAACCACAGCACATAACCTTCAGTAACACCCACATCTGTAACACACAGTCCCAATTCTACAATGAACACAGAGATGTTAGTCCAGTCCTTGGCAGTACATGATAAGAATTGTAACCCACAACAGTGTTTGGAAAACTTGTCCCGAATAGAGATTTAGTGTTTAACATATTTGGAAGGTTTTGCTAGGGAGTATTCTTACAATTCTGTGTGGTCTATGGATATTGTCTGTATTGTTTTGATCTCATGGCTGGTCTCTGTCAATTAAATTCCCACCAACTGGAGGTTTTGGAGTTATCTTCTATGTTGGCTTGTGTTTTGGATGTGATGTGTTATCTCTGGATGCTTTGTTTTCTGCCTGGTATGTTACTCATAATTCTGCAAGTGGGATCTCAGCTGTTGCACGCTCTTCTTTGTCCAACCTGACAACTCCATTTGACATTTCTGTTGTATACTGTTTTTGTTACAATTTCCTTTGGAAGAACAATCTGAGACTATAAGACAGACTGGTGCAAGCTAAACCAAAACGCAGAACCCTAATGTTTTTTTTATCACTTAGAGATTTGCATTGAGGGTTATTTAGTTAAGTGACCCAAAGTAAATGGCAAAAATTATGGAATGGCTTGGAAAAATAATTTTACTATGGCCTCAAAAATGTTTTAAGACCTGAAAATTGTCTTTGACACTGTTGGACCAAAGTTCATTGAAGTATCGGTAGGTACCATCTTCCAAGTTTTAGTTTAACTGTTCTCACAATGAAGACCCACACTTGTTTCCTTAACTACAATATATCTACCGGCAGTTTCAGGTGGTGCTTACAAAATTGTTCAAATTGCTTCGGATTTGTTTGCTGTTCATGGATGCACAATGATTTTCAGTGACAATCCATTTTACAGCCCATCATTCTTTCTGCAATCCAACTGTAAAGTCAAAAGTAACATGTTCTCATTTCCTTACTTATCAATACAATTTTAGATTGGGCAACCAGGGTTTAAGAATCTGAGAAATAAGAACTAAATTATTTCAGGTAAAACAAGGAATGATATCTGCAGCTGAAGTTAGGACAGTACTGAAATGGATTAAATATCGCTCTCCACTATTAGCGCTTGCTTGGAAAAATAAATTTAAATAAAAAAACTTGTCAATATCCAGTACTAAAAAAAGTTATTTACTTATATAAGGGCACATTTTGCTAGATTCTGATCTACTCTTCTAGGAAGACATTATCTGGTATTCCAGTGGTCTTGTCAGAATCAATTGAAAGCAGAGATGTGCTGTTTTCCACATTGACACAGGTTCTCGAGGCATTCTGGTGGATGCAGCCAGCAAAGCTAAAGAAAGATATTCTAGACTCTCAGTGTTGCCAGAATATAATTGAGATGTTTACTCACTTAAATTGCATCCCTGGGCCCATCACTCTAAAAAGAAATCCAGGGGATCTTTTATCACAACTTAAATACATTCATGGTTGCAAGTTAAAAATTCAGATTGATTGATTTGTTTAAACTTTTTATGTTTAAGTTCAGTTTTGATGAATTCTCTTGACATAATGCTGATCATCACACCAACTTGATATTTGGCTGTGATTTTAACTCAAGTTTGTTAATTAATTGAGTTTGTTAATTAATTGATTTCTTGGTTACAATTTAATTGAATGTTAATTAAATACATGTGCTTACTATAGAGTTATGTTTAGGGTTAGTTACTTATAATTATGCATAATGTACTGTAATTTCTATTCTTGTGTATACTTCACCTTAAAATAAAGTGTTACTAATTTTCTTTTTTAAATTAAGTTGTAACTTTTGGCAGTGGGTTTGTAGATCCCCGCATCCTTTGCATAGATTGAGAGTATAAGGAGAGTTAACTGTTGAATTTGATTTTAAATGTTGAAATCAAGTGTTTTTTAATGTTTTTATGTGTTTAATGCTGTTATGGTTGACTAAGAGTTTCTGTTGTTGAGTTCTTTTTCTGGTTAGTGGTTATCATTGTGCTGAAGAGTAATGTGTGGGTGGCTTAGGTTGTGGTTGGCTATTTCAAAGAATACATTACTTTATGATATAACAGTAGTGGCAAGAAATATCTTACCTACTGTTTTCATTAAATTCACATGATAAATAAGTGTAATTTAACATGGTTTTCTATATGTTTATTTTTTACCGAAATACATATAAAGAATTGGTTCCAATGACACCACTCAAGTTGGAACAACTTAGTTTCATTAGATGTTGTCATATCTCTGAATATTAATGCATACAGTTGGATGATATTCATTCATTCATTCATTTATTCACAATCAAAATGTGTGTTAGAGTGTGTCAGACTACATTTAATGCATGTGAATGTGCTATTGTGGGCTGCACCAATGATCAATTTCAATCTACAATTCTACCACTTGTAGACATGTTGGGTTTGAGTCGACTAGTTGTGGATAAACCACAACGAAGCTAATCAAGGCTGACAGGAGCAGCAGTCACTGTGAATCTGTCAATGAAGATATGCATGCTTCTCACCTGCATCATCCACTCAAACACTGCAGCACTGAGCCGGAATTTACTGGATGACAGGTCAACTAATGAGTAGTCATGCATTTTTTTAAACAAGTCCATATGCTACTGATACATTGGGTCATTCCATGTCAAATCAACCAAATACTTTTTATGAAGAAGGAAAAAAATAAATGAAAATGGGTAAAATTTAACAGTTCAACATGAAGTCGCATTTGAATTAACTGATTGAACCATATTAAAATGAAAACTAAGATAAGATATAGTTAATACTTTTGGTAATACTTTTACTTTTTTAATACTTTTTAAATACTTTTTTCAATATTGTTTTAATGCAGAAATACATACAGATTTTTTTTTCAAAATACATATATAGACCAACGAAGGGGAAAAAAAACACAGACAAACAACAATAGAAGAATAGACGATAACAGTATTTGTTTTTCAGATATTCCTCTTTAAAAGAAAAAAATATGTAAAATAATTCTTTGATGTTCCCAAAGTGTGTATGTGAAGTTTTAGCTCAAAATACCACACAGATATTTTAATGAAGCATGTTAAAATTGTCACTCTTTGAGGGTGAGCAAAAACTCACCGTTTTTGTGTCTGTCCCTTTAAATGCAAATGAGCTGCTGCTCCCGACACAGAGGGCGGAGCTTCAAGAGCTGAAGTCATTTTACCGCACACAGACATGCACTGAAAATTTCAAAAACTTGTAGCCTTTTATGTTCAAACCGAAGTCAGAAAGATGGAGAGACTCAAGAAAGTATAAAGACAGTGAGTCTTTCATTGTTTAGATGCGAGCTGGAATGTTTAAATTGAATATTGTTCTAATTTTGTTAGAAATGTACTATGTAATTTCCTCTGATTTAATATTTGCCTTGACTTCTTTTGCCATTACTCCATTTGAGTATATGATCCTGGCCACCATCATAGCCAACTGTATTGTTTTATCCCTGGAGCAACATCTTCCTGGTGAGGACAAGACACCTATGTCCAAAAGGCTGGTAAGCATTAAAAACACAAATATCTAGAGAAACATAACTAAACTTTCAAAAAGTTTGCTACTACTTATACTACTTATTATTTAGATTATTTGACTCCCAGAGTCCAAAATAAACTAATGTCAACCAACAGCATTTCCTAATGAACATGGCAACCAAATCTTCAATTACACCACCACAGCACATACACTTTCTAGTTTTTCAACCTTCACTATCACTATCAAACCCGGCCAATTTCCTTGGCACAAATTTAGCAAATATCAAACAATGCATCCTAACACTGTACTTATAGTTTCCCTGGGCTGGGTTAGAGAGTATGTCCCTACAAAAGAAACTTGCTAACAATACTAACTCTGAAAATTAAATCTGATCATTTGTTTTGTTTAATCATTTTATCTGTTTGTTTATCATTGGGTCCATTAGGAGAAGACAGAGCCTTATTTCATTGGGATCTTCTGTTTTGAGGCTGGTATCAAGCTGGTGGCACTTGGTTTTGTTTTTCACAAGGGTTCCTATCTCAGGAATGGCTGGAATGTAATGGACTTCATTGTTGTGCTAAGTGGGTAAGTGATTTTTTTCAATACTTCAAAGTCATGAAAAGTTTGATTGAACAGGTGAGAGCTATACAACCATTAAAACATTTTTAAAAATCTGATAGGATTGTAAAAAGGTAGTAGGTGTCTGGCCTAAGAGTTCTCCCATGTGTAATACCAGATAGGCGCGCACCATTATCCGAAATAAAAACAGGCACTCTCAGGTACAGGAGGATTCTCACATGGTGGCTTGATGTCCTATGCTGTCTTAAACTACACTTTAAAGCACTTCTTCATTGGGGCATTTTCAAAGCTTACTTAATTCAGTGAGGGAAGTTTCAGTGGATCTCAACTTCATCAATTCTGCCTGAGGGACCTATTCATATAGCTTCAGGCATGCTGTCATAATCAAACTGAATCAAACTTTAGTTCTGAGTTCATGATGGAAGACGCACATCCGAAGTAGCACAGCACCGAATGAGCCAATAAGCATGTCCAGATGCGTTATGAAACCAAAGAACCGTTTTGAAATGAATGAGTAAAAGAGAACCGAATGAGCCAGTTCTGTCAAAGTTGGTTATCCTTGGAAAATGTTGACAGATAGAACTGGTTCTTTTTGAGTCGGATATGAACAAAAAGCTGACTTTTTTAACTCTACCTGTAGGTTTGATTCAATCAGTCAATAGAGTAATTTGGTTTAGTAAACTATCTGGACATGCTTATTGGCTCATTTGGTGCTGTGCGCTACTTCAGATGTGTGTGTTGCGTCATCAACCCGGAACTAGAGTCCGATTTAGTTAGATTCTGAACCGGCTCGACCGATTAAGGCTTAATCGCTACTCCATATCCCACAATGCAGCTATTTGTAGTTTACTGTTAGTTACACAATGTTACAAGTACCTATTGGTCTATAGAGTGCTACATAAATATTCATATAAAACATAACTGTAAATAATAAATCAGCTCCAAAGAAGGTTCCAAGTGATCAAGGGCTTAAGGCATTCCACTTAAACCCATTGCACAGGCTCCGTCAGTAGTGGGCACTCATGCAACGTAAGCAATGTCCATGAGTTGGAAGGAAGTTACAGAAAGAAGGAACACATTCCTAAATTAGAACACAGTCGCTACTGGATTATCTGCCCTACAGGCTAAATACATTTCTTGGCTGCTGGGCTGAGTTTATGAGTAGGTTGTGAACAGCAGGCCACCTCCTCAATGAACTGTTTCTGTTCACCTCTGTTCCTTCTTGCCTTCACAGTAGTGCATTGCATCTACTACATTAGAGTACAAAAGACATTACACAAGTTAGTAGATGCCAAAAGACTCAATAGTTTGACCTAATGTTTGTCTGATGAGGATATGGTGAAATTAACTACTTACATATGTTACATGCATTAAATAATTAGGGTGGAAACAGATTGTGTGGCAAAAACTGGACTGTAGAATCCAAACAAAAAAAAAGTTCTGATTATGATTGTGAAGACCAAATGCACGTATATGCACACAAATATACACACGGAATACATCTCATTTGTTTAACAACTGATTATATTGGCACCATCACACCAGCAAATTCTTCATTCAACATGATACATGCTAGATAATAACGTGTGTAATTTAGGCCAAGTTAAAGAAACATTCAGTTTAACAGGTCACACACAATTTTTAAATACATTTGTCCTTCGGTTAAAGAAAACTGTTGAATGTTTTGGCTTCCTCTCATTTTAGTGTTTTGAAAATTAACATAAAAGTGAATCCAGTTTAAAGGAAAAGGGAAGCTAATGTGCAGGGAGAGAGGGGAGCCAAGAGAGTGTCGACTAGACAGCCCAGGAAGTCTTTGAAATGTCTGGAGACCAGACATATGATCAGGGAGGGACTGGACGGTTGCACCAGGGAGGCTCTGGGGACCCAGCTAACGGCCATAGCAGAGCCAGGGAAATGGACCAGGGGGGCTCTGGTGGGTCTGGAGACCCAGCTGAGGGCCAGAGTAGAGCCAGTGGGATGGACCAGGGGGGCTCTGGTGGGTCTGGAGACCCGGCTGAGGGCCAGAGTAGAGCCAGCGGGATGGACCAGGGGGGCTCTGGTGGGTCTGGAGACCCGGCTGAGGGCCAGAGTAGAGCCAGCGGGATGGACCAGGGGGGCTCTGGTGGGTCTGGAGACCCGGCTGAGGGGTCAGAGTAGAGCCAGCGGGATGGACCAGGGGGGCTCTGGTGGGTCTGGAGACGCGGCTGACGGCCAGAGTAGAGCCAGCGGGATGGACCAGGGGGACTCTGGTGGGTCTGGAGACCCGGCTGAGGGCCAGAGTAGAGCCAGTGGGATGGACCAAGGGAGCTCTGGTGAGTCTGGAGACCCGGCTGACGGCCAGAGTAGAACCAGCGGGATGGACCAGGGGGACTCTGGTGGGTCTGGAGACCCGGCTGAGGGCCAGAGTAGAGCCAGCGGGATGGACCAGGGGGGCTCTGGTGGGTCTGGAGACCCAGCTGAGGGCCAGAGTAGAGCCAGTGGGATGGACCAAGGGAGCTCTGGTGAGTCTGGAGACCCAGCTGAGGGCCAGAGTAGAGCCAGTGGGATGGACCAAGGGAGCTCTGGTGAGTCTGGAGACCCGGCTGACGGCCAGAGTAGAGCCAGCGGGATGGACCAGGGGGGCTCTGGTGGGTCTGGAGACCTGGCTGAGGGCCAGAGTAGAGCCAGCGGGAGGGACCAGGGGGGCTCTGGTGAGTCTGGAGACCCGGGAGAACTTTGGGAGCTTTGGCGTCCCGGCTTAGGGTAAGGATGGTGCAGGAAGCTTGGTTGGAGCCAGAAGAGCAGGGGAATTGGGCGGCTTTGGCATGACCTCTTTGGCCATGACAGGGAGAGTGGCCAACTCAGGGGAGGCAGCAGGGAAGTGTGTGCAGCTCAGAAACACATAACTACGGAGGCATTATGGGAGAGGACGGCCTCCTCGGTCGGGCACGGCTGGCTAGGATTGCCTCCATGGCTGTGACAGGAAAAGCGGGCTGCTCTGGGGCCATGTCTTCCATGGGGCTCTGTTACTGGGGCTCTGTTAACTCCAGGACAACCAGACTTGGGATCACAAGACTTGGGAGTTCTGGGACCACAAGACTAGGTGAGACGGAGAGGCATGTTGGAGCGACCACCTCTGGGGGGGGTTGCAGGAGTCACAGGCACCTGAAGAAAAACTGCATTGAGTGAATAAAAGATTTGTTCCTTTCCATTTCCCAACGCACTTTTAATGCGCCAACTCCTTGCAGCAAAGAAAACTTGTTTTAAATAGATCGTCTATTTCACGCTATTAAAAGTCCTCTAAAATCTATCACTGGAAGAACATCCACTAAAATATAATAAAAATATTAACATTTTATCCAAATGCATAACTACGTTTGAATTGCTGTCAATGGTGTAGTTGCAGTCTGTGCTAGCCAGCCAAACCTTGACCCTGTTGTCAAGGTAATGTGGGTGTCTACAACAAGAAATCAATTTGCACCATAGATTTTAATCCATTTAATAAATGAAATTATGACAAATCATGCCAGATCTTTTTTTTCCACATTTGAATAGATGTTCTTAAAAGGTTGGAAACGGTCTGACATTGATTTTAACACACATCACATCAAGGAAAAGTGTAATTTCTTTCTGGTTGTATAGGCATATTACAGTGCATCGACTGGACCTAATTCATTAAACATTAGCAGAACATATTTCTGTGTAAATTGTTCTGAAATCCAGTCTTACTAATTATTAAGTTAAATGCAAAATGGTTTTACAGAGAAATTAGTTTTTGCTCGTTTTATGAATGAGGCCACTTTTGATTTTGATATCTAAATGCTCATAGGAACTGTTCTTAGTTTTGCCTGCAAAGATCCACATGACTGTATATTTGTATACACCCTTAAAAGAATTTCAATTTTTCTCTTGAAATGCCAGTTTGTCTTTCAAAATTCTGATCTTGAAATGGTGGTTAAAATCTGAAATCAGACCGATTATCCCTGCTACATATCTGACACACTTTTGGCTCCAACATACCTGACCTCTTTAAAAACAGTGAAAGTAAGTCAGACTTAAAAGAAAACTACATGTGTCATTTCACTCATCTGGGAACTGAAACAAGGCCAGTAGGCCATTGCTTGTGGCTTTCATTTCATCTGAAATTAATGATTAGCTGCGAGTGAATCTGCTGGGACAGAGCCAATTTGATATTTTTTTTCTTCACAGGTCTGCTGGGAACATATGGAGAAACTTTGCATTTGACATGATAAAACAAATATGAGTATAATAATGTTGAACTGACAGCTCACTGCTGTACTCTCCCGCAGTAGCTCACATGTGTCCTCCACTATTTTCCATAGCAATGGGTTATTCTCTACTGTAAAGCGACGTCTGGCTGATGGTATTTGAGCACAGTGATAATTTAATTAATAATAATAAAATTTGTTGCTGATTAGTAAACAAATTCACTCTTTTGTGAAATTTTATCACTGATAACAATCCGCAACAAACAATAAGGTTCATTCTTGTTTGTTACGCAGCAACTGACTTCAGCTGAACATCAACCGATATGCATTATTTATCACTGTAAAGCTGCTTTGTTACAATCTGTATTGTATAAAGCGCTATATAAATAAAGATGCCGTTTGAGCTTCAGCAAGAACCAATGAGGTTCATTCCTGTGTTAAGGCCCAGACACACTGGGACGAATATAAGCGTGCGTTATTCGTCAGCGTTTTTCAAAGTGTTTTTTGTGTTCTCACCCAAGCAATTTTCGGTGACGATGAGCTGAGTGAACATGCAAATTCATCCCCTGACATTAGATGGCGCCCATTTGCTCTGCAATACCACTCCATAACAGTTCTCTTTTATCAAGATGTTTTAGTCGCTGTCGCGTTTTTCATGTAGTTCTTGTTCTGACACCAACGAGACCAGCAGCTCTACATTCATCTTGCCTTGCATCTTCCTCGTCTTATTTCTTCCTGGCTGTGTAGACGGCGACGCTACTTGGTGTAGATCTTCTTCACCGTTGCATATGTGTCCTTGGCAAGACCGTTTTGTGTTTGAGTGCCCCCAAGTTGTGTTTTACTGTAACTTCAGAAGAGCCAATCTCAGTGGTCAGATAGTTTTTGACGCAGTGCGTCAAACTAAAAAACCGAATCCGAGGCTTTTTTTTTTTAAATGACGCTTTTACACGTGGCGTTTTACGCATCGGTGTGCACACTCATATTGGCGCCCTTTGTTTAATCACGAGGCGTTAAACGTCAGAGAATAACGCGCGTGAAATTCGTCCCGGTGTGAACAGGCCTTTACGCAGCTCGATTGAGCTTCAGTAAGAGCCAATAAGATTCATTCCCGTGTTACGCCGCACGTTTGAGCTTCAGCAAGAACCCATGAGGTTCATTCTGTTATGCAGCACGTTTGAGCTTTAGCAATAACCAATGAGGTTCATTCTCGTGTTACGCATCACGTTTGAGCATCTGCTTGAACCAATGAGGTTCATTCTCGCGTTACGCAGCACGTTTGAGCTTCAGCAAGAACCAATGAGGTTCATTCTCGTGTTACGCAGCACGTTTGAGCTTCAGCAAGAACCAATGATGTTCATTCTCATGTAACGCATCACGTTTGAGCATCCGCTTGAACCAATGAGGTTCATTCTCGCGTTACGCAGCACGTTTGAGCTTCAGCAAGAACCAATGAGGTTCATTCTTGTGTTACTCATCATGTTTGAGCTTCAGCAAGAACCAATGAGGTTCATTCTTGTGTTACTCATCATGTTTGAGCTTCAGCAAGAACCAATGAGGTTCATTCTCGTGTTACTCATCACGTTTGAGCTTCAGCAAGAACCAATGAGCTTCATTCTCGTGTATGAGCTTCAAGAACCAATGAGGTTCATTCTTGTGTTACGCAGCATGTTTGAGCTTCAAGAACCAATGAGGTTCATTCTCGTGTTACGCATCACGTTTGAGCTTCAGCAAGAACCAATGAGGTTCATTCTCGTGTTACGCATCACGTTTGAGCTTCAGCAAGAACCAATGAGGTTCATTCTCGTGTTACTCATCACGTTTGAGCTTCAGCAAGAACCAATGAGGTTCATTCTCGTGTTACTCATCACGTTTGAGCTTCAGCAAGAACCAATGAGGTTAATTCTCGTGTTACGCATCACGTTTGAGCTTCAGCAAGAACCAATGAGGTTCATTCTCGTGTTACGCATCACGTTTGAGCTTCAGCAAGAACCAATGAGGTTCATTCTCGTGTTACGCATCACAATTGAGCTTCAGCAAGAACCAGTGAGGTTCATTCTTGTGTTACACATCACGTTTGAGCTTCAGCAAGAACCAATGAGGTTCATTCTTGTGTTACACATCACGTTTGAGCATCCGCTTGAACCAATGAGGTTCATTCTCTTGTAACACAGCACGTTTGAGCTTCAGCAAAAACCAATGAGGTTCATTCTCGCGTTACGCATCACGTTTGAGCTTCAGCAAGAACCAATGAGGTTCATTCTCGTGTTACGCATCACGTTTGAGCTTCAGCAAGAACCAATGAGGTTCATTTTCGCGTTACGCATCACGTTTGAGCATGCGCTTGAACCAATGAGGTTCATTCTCGCGTTATGCAGCACGTTTGAGCTTCTGCAGATCCAATCAGGTTCATTCTCATGTTACGCAGCATGTTTGAGCTTCTGCAAGAACCAATTAGGTTTGTTTTTGTCAAACAGGTTTCTGTTTATGACCGTTGATCAATGTTTATATGTGAATAAAGCCTAAATTCAATCTGTTCATCATATAAAGCAATCGTATCTAAATATTTTGACTAAATCGCTCAGTTCATATGGATTAGAACTTCTTGAAGCGTCAAAGTGTTAGTTGCGTGGATTGTCAATGGAGGGACATAAATCTCTCTGATTTGATTAAAAATGTCTTCATTAGCGTTTCGAAGATGAACGAAAGTGTTACGGTTTGTAATGACTTGATGATGAGTAAATGATGACAGAATTTTCATGTTTGGGTGAACTACAGTAACCCTTTATGGTTCCCCATCTTCCCCTGTATCTTGTGGATGTGGACAACAAAGTTGCGTGAGCATATAGTGCGATCAGATGTTCAGAACACAGCATAGACTCGGCATGAAGCCTTTTCTTTCATAGTGTGTGAAAGATGAAGCATTTGCTGCAGATATGCTGATGATTCACCACTAAGTGTTGATAATGTTATTCCTCCATCTTCCTCCATCCCCTCCCCCTTCACTGCCTCTCAGAGCTCAGTTCAGTGTTGTGTGTAGGTGTTCATGTGTGGGTGAGCCCATATTCATTTCATGTTTGCATTTCAGCTTTTTCACTGGCAGGTACAAAGAAGCCTAATTGTGAAATAATTAATAGTGTTTGGTCATGTTACACTAATTGATAGAAATGTAAGCCCCAAAACAAAGGTACAAACATATTTGCTTGTTGTAACACATTGTTTTAAAAAAAACCTCCGTTAAAGACGTTCTCATACACTACAGTAAATTTGTGAAATGTTGTTAAATCTAAAGACACAAATTATTCCTATTTTTTTTAATTCCCCAAATGCTCTAAACATAGTACATATAGCCTACTGTAAATTCTCCATTGATTGATCAGGAAGCATTACATAAGTTCTTTTGAATCACAGATTGAAAGCTCTTCTAAGAAACCGCTGTTTATAAAAATGGATAATGAAACAGGCTCCTCTCTGTTCCTGTGGCAGATATGAAGGATTTGTTGATTCAAATCATGATGTATATAATAGTACGGACGTGGTGCAGTTCTTGAGGCTACAGAAAGATTCACAACCTTGAATTTTCACACCATTTACACCCCCGAGCAATGCTTTCATCCACTCACCCACTCACTCGCTCCATGGCTCGCTCTCTTTCTGACGCTCGCTTTTTCCTCTTGCCTCTTCCATACTGTAATTATTATTCTCTTATTCAAATCTATCCTAGAGCTCATGACTTTAAGTTCCTCCTGAATATTAACAATGGTCTTAGTGCTCACAGATATTTTTGTCAAATGTATTTATCACTGTGACATTTCTGGGAAGTGCACATACTGCTAAAACAGCTCTCACCAATGTTCCCACCGCATGCCATAGTTGGTGCCCACTTCCCATTTCTTTTGTCAGGTTGTTCACACCTACTTCATTAACATAATGCATTTGGTGAGGCATTTTCACAGCATTTACTAATTTAGTGTTTAATTCATGTTGCAATACATGCATGTTAATGAATGCCAATTATACCTAATGACGAACCTTATTGCAAAGTCTTATTCATTAAATCAAATTTTGTTTATATATATATTAATATGGTAGCACTTTATTTTACAGGTCTGTTCCGCGTGTACATATATGTACTTATCATAATTAAAATAACTGGGCAATAACTAGTAACCCTGAACCCCTAAACCTAACCTTGACCTAGTACTTTTTTGGGGGTACTTTAACCCCATTTTTACATCTGAACTGCTATTATCACTGTAGAGAATCACAACATTTGATACTGTAAATAAATAAATAAATCACCTTGAAGGGTTTTATGATTTAAGGGCAAATCAAGCATGCAGTTTTGGCAAACGTAATGTTAGATGTGAAAACTATTGCATAAATTATGTCATTTATTTCTGTGTAATTTTTTTTATATTTAGGACACATTTAACTGTTTTGATGAAGCCTTATTTCCCCTTTTCTTTTTTCCTCAGGATTCTGGCCACTGCTGGCTCTCATATGAATATTCCTGTGGATCTGAGAACCCTTAGGGCTGTGCGTGTGTTAAGACCCCTCAAACTAGTTTCGGGAATCCCCAGTAAGTTACTCATCCCATTCCCCACTACATATAACAATCAAAATCAAGGCTGAATCTGCTCCTGCACACCTGTCTGGAAGTTTCCAGTATACCTAGTACATTGATTAGCTGGTTCAGGTGTGTTTAGTTGGAGTTGGACTTGAACTCTGTAGGACAGTGGCCCTCCAGGAGCAGGATTGGACAAAAGCAGTGTCGTCTTGTTACTATAAACACATATAAAACACACTAGTTGGTATTAAAAGTAAAACCACTTATTGACAATAAGATCGTTGCACTAATCCATTTTGATTCCGCCAGGTTTACAGATAGTTCTGAAGTCCATTATGAAAGCCATGGTTCCCCTTCTGCAAATCGGCCTTCTGCTCTTCTTTGCCATCCTGATGTTCGCTATCATCGGTCTGGAGTTTTACAGTGGCAAATTACACCACACTTGCCTGCCGTATCCAGATATACTCGGTATGGAGAATCTTTTTGCTATTTAACTCAAGTGAAGTCGTAATATGGCAAACACAATACATCTGCCATACAGTATGTATTGATCTTGGGTGGTTTTTAAAGGTTTTTAAATGGTGCGATCAGGTCCTCCTGGGAAGTTTGTTTTTAGGAGTTTGTAATTGGTAATCACGATGTGAAGTCCCAGACAGCAAACTGACATTGAATCAACGTGGAAACGATGTCTCTCATGACATTGAAACAACGTTGATTTTGCTCATCAAATTAACGTTGAACCAACGTCAGACTTTTGAAGACTTTTTAGCATTCTTCAAAGCTAAATGAAAATCAAAAATTGGTTTGCTTTCATAATGTTGAAACAACGTTGATTTCAAGTTGATTTTCCGTTAGTTTTGAAAGAATGACGCGTCTGACTGGTTCAACGTTAATTCGATGAGCAAAACAATGTCAGATCAACGTTGTTTCGATGTCATGTTTCCACGTTGATTCAATATCAGTTTGCTATCTGGGCTGTGTTCAGGTAACTTTGGTCGAAGCAAGATGGCTATGTACACTGTGGCTGCGTTCGAAATCGCGTACTATGAGTAGGTACTATATTTAAATTAGAACGTACTTCGCGACCATTAAAAAAGTATGTTCTATAGAGTATGAGGGTAGTATGAATGAGTTCAGACGTACTACATGCGCCATGTTGTTGTCGCGTCACATACGCTGTCACAACAATGCAAAGATTTAAAGAGCCCATTCCAGTGACTGCACCAGCTTCACGCTGTTTTTAGTTCTGCTTTCTGTTTTCATCTGCGTTTTTACGTCGTCCAAGCCGACAATCAAGTGGAGGCATCGGTCAGCTGCTCGCAGATCACGCCTTTTGTGGAATTTCTCAAATAACATTTATTTACCTAATAAATTTTACCTCATAAAACACACACACAACCCATATGAACAATGACAGATGTTGATTTTTGGCAAGGAAAAGCCATTTATTTGCTTGTGATATTACCGTCATTAAAGGATTAGTTCACTTTTGAAAAAACTTTTGCTGATAATTTACTCACCCCCATGTCATCCAAGATGTCCATGTCTTTCTTTCTTCAGTCGAAAAGAAATTAAGGTTTTTGATGAAAACGTTCCAGGATTTTTCTCCATATAATGGACTTCAGTGGGAACCAGACGGTTCAAGTTCCAAAAGAAACTTTCAGTACAAACTGCAAACTTGTTCAAAGGGCTTTAAACGATTCCAGACGATAAATAAGGGTCTTATCAAGCGAAACGATCACTCGTTTTTAAAAAAAAATAACAAAGTTTAAGTTTTATAAGATCAAACGCTCGCCTTGGTGTGTTCTGTGGTGCACGTTCGTGACTCTCCTGTTCGGACTCGTTCAACAAAATGAACAAATCTTTTTCCGAATCAATTCGTTCTTTCGCCGAATGAACCAAATGACTCGGAAAAAGATTTGTTCATTTTGATGAACGAGTTCGAACAGGAGTGCGTTACAGAACAGAGCAAGGCGAGCGTTTGAGCTTATAAAACTTAAACTTTGTTATTTATTTATTAAATGAGCGATCGTTTCGCTTGATAAGACCCTTATTCATCGTCTGGAATCGTTTAAAGCCCTTTGAACAGTTTGCACTGAAACTGTCTTTTGGACCTTGAACTGTTTGGTTCCCACTGAAGTCCATTATATGGAGAAAAATCCTGGAATGTTTTCATCAAAAACCTTAATTTCTTTTCGACTGAAGAAAGAAAGACATGGACATCTTGGATGACATGGGGGTGAGTAAATTATCAGCAAAAGTTTTTTCAAAAGTGAACTACTCCTTTAAATAAACATGAATAAATCAATAGAGATACGCATGTGTGTCTGTGTTTATCTCCTACCGTTACAGCCACGTCTCCGGTTACCGCCATATTCAAAGATGATGACACCAACTCCTCTCTCGTAGCATCATGGGATAGTAAAGTGTCCATCATATTCGCACTTCAGAATCTCGCCGGAAGTAGTAGGTCATCCGGGTACTTTTCGCCTACTGTTTTTCGCATTCTATGATTTCGGACATACTACTCTGCTCGCGTACTGTTTTTCGCACTATATAGTAGGGAAGAATTCGATTTTGGACGCAGCTTGTCATTAACCTTACTGCGCATGCGTAAAACCTCATAAAAGCTCTGTCAGATGATACAGATGGAACAGACGTCATAAAGTTCTCATGTTATTCTCCTGGCAGGATCATTTAATTTAGCAAAATATCTCAGCATTCACTGATGTGTCCAGGTCGCACTCACTCACCATTATATGTTTGGTCTAAAACGCTAGAACTGCTCTCAAGTTTTGCCGCAGGACAGCAATTTGTGAGTAAATTTAAATCATCTTTGCAGGACTGTGATATGAAGAGTGTAACATCAGTGTGAAAGTAAATAGCACATGACAGGCACAATAGCAATATAAATATACATATATATCAGTTAAATATGACTAAACGTTAGAGTTGAGCCGGATACTCGGCTGAAACGAGTATCCGGTACGGATAAAGCACTTTTGTCGAGTACAAATATTATACGAGTAATACGAGTCAATATCTGTGCTCGAAAAAAAAAGTAATGTTGAAATTAGGGCTGAGCGATATATCAATATAAAGAATATATATTTTAAATGTGATATGTAATTAGAGTTTGCGCTGCACGCCTTGCTCCAAGCAAGCTGCTTAGTGCTGACCCAGAGCTCTCTGCACTGCTCCCCGCGCCCCAGTCACTCCTTTTCCACTTTGCGTGCTTGATTAAAGCATGTTATGTTATAACATGAAATAAAGTCTTTCACCTCAGCAAAACGGACTTTGTCCTGTCAGCCGTTATACTGTAACGTTAGTCGTAGCGCACACTCAATTGCACGCGCAAATGCGGCGGCGCGCGCTGGATCGCCTCACTGTATATAAAGTGCAAAAGAAACAACGAGCATGCAACACTGTTGCGTTGTAAATAACACGAAATAAAAACAAAGCAGGTATGATTTTAATTCTATTCACCAGGAGCAGTTTCAATGTTTCATTAACAGTATTGTCTATTCACCAAGGTAACTGTCATGTCTTTATTAACCCCTTAATGCCCCTATTTTTCTTTGTGTTATTTTTTATATTTTTTAAATGAATGTAATGGCTCATACCAACGTTGTATTGACAAAATAAATAAACCAATTAATTAATCACAATTACAATTCCAAGGGAATAATCTGCAATTAAGATTTTTGTCATAATCATGCAGCCCTAAGGTGAAGAAACCTGTTAATTATTTATTCATTTGATTTTGCAAATGTTCATGTTTCAATAAAACTACTTGTGACATGTCATATTTGGCTTTGACTGAACATTTGCTCTCACTTTGCAGAAAAAATATCGGGATATATTTTGTATATTGAAATTCAGCCTAAATATATTGGGATATGACTATTGGTCCATATCACCCAGCCCTAGTTGAGATGAAAACTCTTGTTCGTTACATTTTACTTCATATTTGCAACCACATGTGTTGTATTCATTGTTGCAAAACTTGCTCTGTAGTTCGTTGTTATCGTGATCAAAACCATTGATCTGAAGCTCAATGCTGATGCTGTCATGTAAATAGTTTTCTTATCAGCAATAAATATAACAATTTCTGATCAACCCATATCAATTGCATGCTTAAAATAACATACCGGTTAAAGCCCCGCCCATTTCAAGACTACCCGACCCACTTCCGGGTTTAGGCCCCGCCCAGTCCGAGTACAGATACAGATACAGATAATTCATATGGTTATACAGATACAGATACAGATACAGATAATGCTGTACTCGCTCATCCCTACTAAACATGCGACATTATCGTTTTCAAATATCTCTGTTTTCATAATCCACACCACAACACGAAAATTGCATTTACAAATTTGCCCACTTTTTCTGCGTTTTCAAAAAGCTCAATTTTCGCAGGAGGGAAAACTGTCTCAGTGTGAACAGAAGGCCAAAACGGAGAGAAAAGGTGCGTTTTCAAATGAAAACTCGGTAACACTTTACAATACGTGTGCACTAATAAGCATTAATTCATGCTTAACTAATGCACAGATAATACTGAATTAATGTGTAACTAATGATTATCTAAGCTATTCATTAATGATTACCACATTAGGAACTAATTAAGAGTCTGTAAGGTTAATGTATTAGTTCATACATGAATTGTTATTAATTCAATATGTAATTGTGGATTCATTCCATAATAACTAATTTTTTTAACTAATAGTGTTAATTACCAGAATAAGCCAAAGCCTTGTATTTCAACTTCCAGGTAATATGACAGGTACACTAATATGCATGAATACATGATTAATTACTTCATTGTTAGTGCAAATTCATGTGCAAATTACTACAATTACTAAATGACTAGTTAATAATGATGTGCCCCATCAAGTAAAGTCATAGCATAATGATACCTTTGCAAATCATTAGCTAATGATTAATTAAAGCAGACAACTGGAAGTTGAAGTGCATAGCTTTGACTAATTGTGATAATTAACACATTAATTTACACTATTAGTTAAGAAAATATGTTAAAATATAAGGAATTAATACACAATGATACATTGAATTAATAGCAATTCATGTATTACTTAATCTATTAATCATATTGACTCTTTCGTAGTTGCTGATGCAGTAATCATCAATTAATGGTTTAGTTCTTCATGAGTTATACATTAACTCATGATTATCTGTGCATTAGTTAAGGATGAATTAATGCACATTAGTGCACCTGTATTGTAAAGTGTTACCGAAAACTCATTATTGTGGACAAGACCTGAGTCTGAACCAAGCAGGAGAAAGAAAAAAAAATCAAAAACATGGATGTTTACAATAAGTTCATCGAATCAAACGGTTAATTTAAACGTTAGTACATAGTAGTTAAAGACACATAAAGAAGTTAAAGACCTTCACTGTATAAATGAAATATAGATATAATGCTTTTAAAAGAATTCAGTCAAGAG